TCCTTATCGAGCTCACGTCAAAGTTTGTTAACACTCGTGAATCTGGCAGCGTCTGGTTTCGTGGCCCAGTGGAATTCTCGTGGATTCCATTGTCACTGATTCTGGAAGGGAATCTCCCCAGCGGAAAGCAGGAAGAACAACCTGACGACCCGCATGTGGTTGTGTGCCGTCGACGAGCTGGCCGCGGACCGGGCGACCGGAGACAGATGGAGGCCTCGACTTTTGGATCAAAAAACGTCTCCACAGAACGTCGACGACAGGTGTATCGGCGGAGTCCAATGTTCAGTAGATTTCATATTCAACGAGCTCATCACGGGGAGAACTCATTCATCTCCGAATTGATCTCGCGATTCCACCCTTATGCGATACTCCGTGATCGATTACGCCTCGCTCGTAATCGATACGTTGGCCACGGCATTCATCGAAGCACTTGCTCGCACATTTCCATGGAAAAAAATTCTGGGGGGCTCAACGACTTGAAAGTCATCTGGATAAAAATATATGGGAACATAGATAGTCGAGAATATACGATAAAGTCGACGTGCACCGAATTCCGGGAAACCGGGAGACGATAATGAGAAACTCGGAGAGTATGGAAAACAGCTCAGTACAATCTTGATATTTCTGTATTCTCTCAAGTAAATGCTTTACTTGAGATATTTTTGTATTGGTACCTCGAGGCGCGTCTGGGATCCCGATCTCTTACTTTCGGAGTTATTTCTCCCTCGAGTCCTGAGCCGCACGTCAGCCATCGCCGGTCTCCTTCCCAACGCTAGCCATCCCGTGTGTACACTCACGGGGCTGGAACCATTTCTTCGTTTTCAACATTACGCCCGGGATGAAAATCACAATCGATATTAGACAGAACAATAACCTTATGAATAATTTGTCTTCATCAATGATGTCGATGGCCTCGGCAAGGCCGCTGCCGTGGCAATTGTTCAGACCGTAGAGGATGATCTGGACCTCTACCGCGTGTTCTAGGACGGTTAAGACGCTCAACAGCGAATAAAAGACGAGGCATTCCCTCGTGTCGAAAAACCAGCGAAGGAACATCATAATCGGGAACAGGAAAACAGCAGATTCGGACCAAGAAAACACGCCAGCCAAATTCACAACGGACACGTTCTGATCTACTTTGCAAAGCCGATAGTCCATGAACATAATCTTGGAGAAATGTTTCCACAGTTCCCGAGTGCCGCTGATGAAAATCCCCAGCCAAGCGAACAATTGTGATACGGAACTCTTGCAGTGATTGTAAACGAGATGGAAACGAACTTGAAGTTGATATGGACTAAGACCAGCGAACAGCTCATCGAGAGCGTATCGTCTCCACACCCACATTATTGAAGTGAGTTCCAGAAAACTTTCCGTCAAGCTTCCGAGGAGAGGATGACTCGTCGTCGACGACTCCGGGGTCCGCAGATCGCCGTCGAGAATCTCGAACGGCTCTCGACGACCGTCTTTCGTCCAGCGGTAGCAGGAAACGCTGAACTCGTTCCGGAAGTCCAGGAACAGTCCGCGATAGAAGGCGATTTTCATTTCTCTCCTCAGGGCGTCGCACTCCGAGATCCGCGCGCCCAGAGGGCAATCAACCCTTCGGGACTCGAATCTCTCCAGATAGCAATTGAATATCTCCAGCGCGCTGCGGCCGACCCGTTCAAGATCGATTCCTTCTTCACAATGCTTCTGGGCAACTTTCATTGACTCGTTCCAGCAAGGACCCCAGACGATCTTTCTCTTGACGAACCCATAATAAACGTCGCTGGGGATCAGGCTCTCTCCCGCTCGGAGAATATACGCAGAGACAACGGAGCCGATCATCAAGATTGCGATGACGAAGATGTTCATTATCGAGAGTTGCCTGGAACGGCGGCGCAATGAGTTCCTAATCGCTCGAACCGAAATCTGTTCCATGCCGCGATTGGTGACCGGTGACGGCGATTGAAGCTTGAGGGAGTCTTTCTCTCCAACTCGAACCGGGATCGCCATTCCGCGGGACTGACCTGGCTCGAACTTTTCTCCGCGAGCGGGGAGTTCTGGTTCAACGTTTCTCCTTGATTTACCGAAAGCACATTCTCTTCTCGGATGCTACGATCCGAGGACTTCCTCCTTTTCAGAAACCACTCGGCACAGGCTCACCGTGGGCGAGTTCGGCGGTCAGCGGCCCCGACGGTCGAACTTAAAACCAAACAAAGCTTGCAAGCGACATGCGACATCGCGGGAGTCGGACCTTCCGGAGACAACCTCCTCCACGTACGAGGTGTTTAGGTTCACCGGAATCGCTTGCCTCGAATCGATCGCTGGATAAGGTCTCAACCGGCTAGCCGGAGGCAGGAAGTCATCTGACTGGGAGATGAAATCATGGTTTCCTTCGGTAGTATCGTGCTTGATGTGAATTCCTATGTGTCAACGATAGTCAAACGTATATTTTTTTTCTTCGAGGAACAATACTGGATTGCTGAAAGCGTCGCCTACCTGTGGAAGGGGAGGAATCCACTTTTACCATCCCAACCTGTCAGTGTCACACATTCCTGCCGTTTCCTCACCTTTGGGTCGTCGGGTACCGTGGAAACCCCGCGAGAATGTGGTCTCGTCGCGGCTGTCAAATGAAGTCTTATTGACAGGGGAATGTTCTTCGTATGTTCAAACAATAATAATATCAGCAGAGCGCTCCCTCGGGCTTGGTTTCTTCCTTTGGAACTCCGCCAGACATGAACGGCGCCACCCACAATATGCTCTCCGGGTTCCAAACTATTCTCACAAGCTTTTCCCGAGAGCACCTGGACACTTCCTGGTGACCGTTGCAAGATCATCCCGACCTGCATCGGAGACTCGGAAAGCGTCTCGCGTTCTCTCCAGAGAAATTATTGACCGGGTTGTTGTCTGATGGAATAATTTCGTCGCTGGGTGAGCGATAATGAACGCTCGCGCGCGAATTCGGACAAATATAGAGATTAGGAGAGAAATTCTATTTATACCGCCGTCGATGTGTCCTCTTTGAAAAGGTCAGCGGACATGAAACAACCCCCAGTACGCTTTTCGCCTGCCGAACTCTAAGCTCGCTCACGATGGTGGCCGAAGACGCTGCTTGCCGAATAGGAAGTGAGGTCGAGTCTCACCTGCCCTCAGAACTAGGTTAGGCCAATGCCTGCTAACTCGGCTTGCTGCTCGTTCGGTTGCTGGCTGGCTGGCTTCCTCATCATGGGGTTCTTTTTTTCTTCCTGTTCGAAAGAGAAGAGGAAGTCGTCGAGAAACGAACTCAAGGCTACGCTCAAACCAGCCTACAATGGTTTAGCATTGGTCTTACGAAAACTGTCGGTGTGCATGCTGTAAGACAGTCGCTATTCTCTATCCGGACAATCGGAATCGCTCGCTGTAACCATTCTGACGTAATTTTCAAGCCAGAACTAGCACGGAGATGCCTAATCGATTCGGTATATCTCCCCACGGATTGAGGAAATCGAGATCTATCGACTGACCTTCCACCCGGGCTCTGACTGAGAGAGGAATTAGAGCAGTGCGAGAAATCGAGTTCTCCCACCACCTCCGAGGCGAAACACCCCAATGACGGCCACCGTCCTCAGCAGTCATTGCGTGATGCTCATGTGACGGGAGTCCCGGGAAATTCGGGTTACGGTCCCTGCAGCGCCGCGAGCCAGTGGCCGCTCAAATGGAGCTCATGGGGACTCCTTCGTCGTCGATTCCAGCAGCTCACCGTAAGCGCCTACGTGTCCGCTCGCGGATGCTCATCATGATCGAATCGTACGAACGTATGTCTGAAAGCATTGAGAGCGAGAGTATATGAAATCGTTAAATGATGTGGGAAACTTCTACTTTTATCATCAGGAGGAGTCAATCCATTATTATCAGCTTTGAGCTGCAATTACCTCGTGTCATCCTGTGTTCCCATGAATTCGGCTGTCCCCCCTGACCCACGCGTACGAGCGAGCGAGGGAGGGAGGGAGCGTTCAGCGCTCCCCCACTGTGGTGGTGGCCCAAAGGCTGGTGTACTAGTAGGTGGATTCAGGTTCCCACAACTTCACACGCATCGAATACACACCGGCTGACTGCCCGAGTGAGTGACTGGCTAGCTGGCCTGCTCGCTCGATGGCTTCTGGTCCCCAAGCTGTGGGAGCCCGTGCTTCGCCGGTGTTTCCGCCGCTGAGAATCGATGGACACTCGGATGAGTTGGCCTGGGAAACGAAGAGAGTCGAGACGCACTTGATCGAATTTTTCCACCTCCGGCATGCGAACTCGCACGTCATAGGGCTGCGACGAGCATTCGACCTTGAACTCAGAACTCCGTTCACTAGCATCGTACTTCCGTTTTTTTAATGATGGTAGTCACCAAAAGGTTCCCCGAGACCTCCATGGGCATTTCCCAGAAGAGGGGTCCCTGGTGACTCCCGGCCATCGTTCTCGCTTTATTCCCGGACGGTAATTTCTCTAGAGAAGTTGAGGGTCTAAAGCTTGTCCAAACCTTCGTACATTTATGAGCCGATTTCCCCCGAATTGACGGATACGTTTTCCTAGGCGGTCAGTTTCCCTGCTCAGGGTCACATAGGGAACGTCCTGCACTTATCCCGAACACCCAATGTGCTCCCTCCTCCGAGGGAGAAACTCTCCGAGTGGGAGGGATCCTTCGCGAGGACTCGAGCATAATGTCCGAGAAATTCATCGTTTGCGCGGCTTGCTTTGCGTCAGGAATGTCGACAGCCTCATTTACGACAATTCCAGATGTCGCGCAGGTGAGTCCGTTATCGGCGCCGTTACGACCGTGACGTAGCGTGTGTCCCCGAGCGACGCGACAAATGCTCGACATACGACCGACATCTCCGCCACGAGCCTCTCCCAAACCCTCTCTTCGGGGGTTCCCGAAGGCGGAGTCGAGGTGCCGGAGCCTTAAAAAGCCACCGCCTCGCCACCAGAGCTCATTCTCCGTCCGAGTTCGCTTTGGATACACTCACCAGCAACGGATTTACAAACACAGCTTGAAAATGCCAAAAGCTTTTCTCATCAAGAAAAAACACGAGGCCATGTTGGCCGCCCAGATCACAGGTGTCAAGCGACCCTGGCTGGACGACATGGAGTTGCCCGAAGACCTCTCGAGGTCTTCAGCATCTCCCACCCTGTCGTACTCTCCGACGCCCTCCGTTTCGCCGGCGCTCTCGATCTCGCCGGCGCCTTCGGACTGCTCTGCCACCGTCCCAGGTATGTTTCTGGAGCGACGAACCGAACTCGATGCGGTGTAGCTGATAACGAGTCGAAACAACGACGGGGAGAGGATGAGTGCTTCTGATATCTAACGGATTATTTTTTCGTTCTCCAGATATGGCCATGCCGTTTGACCTGTCAACGAAACGCAGATGCAACGAAGCCTCCGAACCTGTGGTTTCTCCCTCGACGCCGGCGGTGGCCGAGTGGCCGCGATTCATGATGCCGATACCTCATCTGCCGTACACCATGCCCGCGATGTCACCTTTCTACTATCCCATGATGCAGACTTTCTCGCCCCAAATCGTCTCGCACCAGCCCATGGTACCGCTCGCGCAACAGGACGTGGCCGTCGTCCCGTCCTGGGCGTCCGAGGACAAGGAATCGCCGAAGAAAGACGTCGCCGCGCCCCTGTCTCCCTCCGACAGCAAAGGATCGTTCAGCTGCAGATTCTGCTCGAAATCCTACGTCTCCATGGGAGCCCTGAAAATGCACATCCGCACCCACACGCTGCCGTGCAAGTGCGATATCTGCGGAAAAGCTTTCTCGCGGCCGTGGCTTCTCCAAGGCCACATCAGAACCCACACCGGCGAGAAGCCCTTCGAATGTGAACACTGTCATCGGGCGTTCGCCGACCGCTCGAACCTCCGCGCCCACCTGCAAACCCACCAGGAAGTGAAAAAGTATTCCTGCACCCGATGCTCGAAAACCTTCAGCCGGATGTCGCTCCTCCAGAAACACCAGGACAGTGGTGCGTGCTGTCAAGTGCTACCGAGACCTTCGCCCCAATCGAGTCCGGCAGCCGTTCCTAGCGCTTGAGATGCCCATCAGTCCCACGGGGACGTAGAGGGGATTTCCATACGGTATCGGTATGGAGGCTGTGATATCAGTCGTTGTTGTGAGTCTAGTCCACGGAAGTTTTCGACAAATTGTGTGTTGGTGCCATTCGGAAAGTTAGGCGCGGGAAAGATGAGGAGAGTCCTTCTTTCTCCGTTCCGAGAAATTTCGGCAATTTTAAAGCTCGAAGAACACTTTGGGGTGTACTTCGGACGCACTCTGTAAAAAGAACTCTGTACATAAATCAATTTTCGATATTTCGTAATATAAAAGCTAAGTTATCAAAGAAATGAATTAATAAACCCGAAACGATGCGAGAGCATCTGTTGATAAGTTGAAAGCGAAGAAACATCGAGTCTTCCTGTTACACAAATAATCTCGGCCGAAACTTGATCGATAATCCTGAATTGGCCTCATTAACCTTTGAGCATGGACGCTTCACTTTCGGTGGATATGGATGACCCGATTCCTGGCCAAAGTAATCTTCTATTGATGGATGGCTCGGTCGTATGGTGTCCGGGTCGATAGCGCATGGAAGGGAGCGGTTCAAGTGGAATTCTCGCTTTACTATAAGGTCAACCCCGACATCTGTTGTGTTTCAACCCTTTTCTAGGACGAGCTCCTAGCCAGGCTGTCCGCGAGGAAAAGGAGAAGAAGCACTAGCAGCGATAAAAACGTTCAGCGTCGCGATAAGCTCCGATCACGACCTCTGACATTTCGATCGAGCACTAAATCTGGTTTAATTGATACGCGGTTTCAGGTGGAGCGGCTCCGGAATTTCTGCGACTTTTTTTTTCTTTCCTGACAGAGATTTCTGTCTCGGCGACATACCGCGGCCCGGCCGCCGACCAAACAACCGCGTGCCCGACAAACCGAGCAGGCAGCCTTTCAACCAAGAAGGCGAGCGAACGAGGGATCGATTGGAGGATTGATAAAGACAATCGAGCAAGTTTTCGTACATAGTTGATAAAGCTAACAAGTTCGTCGCTTCTAGCCGGGTGACTTATTATCGTCGCCGCAGAGCGGTATGTCAGCTCTGGAAAGCGGCTGACGACGGCGGCGGGAGCACAACTACGGGGATAGGAGACCGCTCGTTCGTCTGGGGAGCTTCGATCTCCGCTCCCAATATGGGAAATATATTCGGTGGAAACCGTTTCCCCGTCGGGCCCTCGGCACCCCGAGGAGATTCTGCGGATGCGGCTCGCTGCGAGCTTTCCGGCCATCTCTCTCGATATTCTGTCCATTTTCTCGCCAGCCGCGTCAATGATCCCACCGAGCCCTATATTGAATTTCTCCGGGGAATCGCGACAGTAGAAAACGAAGCGTCTCTGCCCTCATTCTTAGTGTCGGGTCCGCGTTCGGCTCAAACTTCTTGTACTAACACACGAACATCTAGAAGGCAAACACCGAGCGGGAGCGCACAAACCAGCGACCCCGTAGACATACGGGGACAGACGGACGAACAGACCGAACGACTGACTGACTGACGGAATCACAGACAGACCAAAAGAACCCAAGACCTCGACGCCATCTGCGCACCTTAGCGCGTGGATCGTACGGCGGCAGCTGGTCGATAAGAAGGCAAAGTCCACTGATGTTGTTGTTGTTGCTGCTGCCACCGTCGTTGTTGCTGTTAAAGTTTTCCTTCCTCGTTGTCGCATTCGCTTCTGTCTACGTCGTCTTTTCCTGCTGCTCCTTCTTCTGTTGTTTCTCTTCTCCGGCTGAGGGACTAATGTTTGGGCTACGCGCGCGCGTCTGTTTGGACTACACACTGAGCCCCCGAAGAGAAACGTCGAGCGCCCGCGACAGGCGCGCGCGCGCCTTCTCCGCCTTCTTAACACGGCACTGTGCGTTGGACAGCGTCATTTGAGCGAGGATGGCTCCCTACCGTTTTTCCTCCAGTCCCGGCGCTGGAAGTTTCCCGCAGAAAAACGGGCAGCCCCCGAATTCGCTTCATGCGTTGCAATTCGATACGCTTGCGTTTGTTAAGGGGAGACGTACAGAAGAGCGAAACTTTCTGCCCGAAAAGTACATACATTGTAAAATATCCCTTCGGTGCGTCAAGCGAGCTGAGCGGTCGATCCGAGAGTCGCCGTCCACGGGAGTATCGATGGTGGATGCTCACGGAAAAAAAACACAGCTAATCGATCCAATGACTTCTTGGCGTCATGGACGAGACAGGTGTGACTGGCAGTTCCAACAGAATCGAGGAACTTTACGATGCGTAGATAAGGCAGACGCCCGAATGTTCCGTCCGGATCGGTGATTCACTGGCTGACCAAAGAGCCCACGGTCTGAGTGAGGAAAACCTCCCGCAGGAAGAACACGTCGGATTGCCTAGTCGCATGATCGCTGCGTTCACATCCTGGAAATCACCAGGACTCCGTCCTCACTGGACGGAACACCCTTCAGGAAACCTTCCGTGTTGCTCAAGATCGCCGATCCGCTTCCGCGCCTCCATCGCAGATTGTTCTTCGTTGACAACCCTTCCGAGGGGACTAAATCTTTCATAGAAATCTACGGGAAAATCGGGCGTACATGTCTGTGCCGCGTCTACGGGAAGGGGATCGGCTCGCCAAGACCGTCAATGGACGAAGCTACCGCTGCTGAACATGAACCCTGTGACCCTCCTGCTGAAAGAAATAAGAAAATAAAAGAAGAGCAGAAGAAATTGCCGAGCAGAATTTTTTTTCTTGCTTCGATAACCTCAACTGTTATTCAGTTCGACTCCCATGCTGACACAGATCTCACGGAAACTGCATTCTAGTCCGCCGAGGCTATGAACTTACGTGTTTATCGAAACGCGAACTATCCAGACCGTAGCGCTGTGAAGCATTAAACGAGGAGCTCTTCGATGTCGATGATGTCTCGTGTCACCTGCAAGATTTCAACGGGACGAGATTTGAAAAGGGCGCTCGAGCGACTGATCAAGGAAGAAAACGAGAAAGAATGCAGGCAAACCACCGACCGCCCCAGTGAGCGTGGCTAATGCGTTTCACGAGTGTCACGCTTGTCAAGGACTGGCGCAATGACGACTAGTCGGGCTGACACGCACAGAGATCCTCGTCATACTGTCAGATGACTAAGGCCGGCTAGGTACTTACCTACAAATGCTCGCTCAGAGATTACGGAGCGATCAGACTCTTCTGTCATACCCCATAACAATCAAACGGATATTTGGCTTGAGGGAACCGTCGAACAATGTGGCATTGACTTACCAATTACTCTGACCTTGGTTCCGAGCTCTAGTGTTCCAGCTTAACGACTCCTCAAGACTCCGGAATCGACCCGTCGTTGGAGGACACACTCGCTCGCCTCATCCGAAAGTAATTCATTGATCCGTGATTTCCACCGAAGGATCTCCGATCAGGATCCGTCCGTCGGAGACTTTATGTATTATGTATCTGGAAGCGGTAGCTTCAAACAGTGTTGACAGCAATCAAAGAAAGCAATATAGCCGCGGATTCCTCATTCGTCCCCAGTTTGAATGGTGTCGGTCGAGCTCCCTTCTTTCTACTTGCTCGGGGCATCGTAACCTCTCCGCTCGAATAGGTCACGTGTCGCTTTCCTTGAGGCGCTTCGGGATTTATCCTGTTACGAGCCGATGTTTAAAGTCGTATCCGTCTTTCATGGGACTCTTTATTCCCTGAGCCCTGCACAAAACACTATTGGGAGCACCATGCGAACGACGACTCGTTGCAACGCAACTCATCCTACTAACTCGCGCTCCGACACAGGAATCCAGGACCCTCGGGCTCCGTCCGATTTTTATCCTGTCGAATCACAGCAAGACTCGATTAGACATTGATTGGAAGTGCTGACAATCGAAGCGTCTCATGGAGACATTCAGCGAATGAAAAACTCTCGAAGAAAACCGCGTTGGGGGCTGCGACATCAGTCTCAGCATTGCAGGTAATGCACTTGATGTCTTATCGTTGGGATGATGCTTCCTTCCTAAAGGTCGGCAGCGTTCTCTGAACAACGTTTTCCGTGTTCGTATTCATCAGCCGACGACCATATCATACAGAGCGACATATGCGTGTAATCGACGACGATCGAGGAGCAGAGATGCACTTTCCCAGAAGATCAGGTTTTGTATCAATAGTTGTCCTGTAGCGAGAGTGGGTTCCCATAGACGATTCTCATATTAAAAAGCGATCTGCTCCCTCCATCGGGGAACGACCCCGTTTTCGAGGGAGCCAGAAGCTTGTAGCCAACAGACCGACCGACTGACTGCCGAGCAGGCTGGGAACACAGCTGAGCGAAATGAGATGTGACTGACTGATGCTGCCTGCCTGCCCGCCCGCCCGCCTGCTACCACCACCATGACCGCCGCCGCGCCGGAGCCACTGCTGGTGCTCTGACACCACTAACCAGTTACGAGAGCGGCCTGTGGTGGGAACCACCGCTGTCACGAGCTGCGCTCCCACTCTGATAACGATTTTCAAATGAAGACATTCCACCCTAATGAATGAATGCTCGGGCCACCGCGATTCAATAATGAAAAGCGGACCAGAAACGCCGCGGCCCACGCCGGAATTATGACGAAACCCTCGGAAGCTCCCTCAAGAGAAGGGGCATTCTTTCCCCCCAGATCACCTCGAATCCCGATGAACCAAAAGCTTCAATTTGAAATTGCGGCTGAAGATCAGCGGAGTCACCAAGAAAATAGTCCGCTGCGCTTGTCCGTTCTCTGATTCGTATGTCCTCGCGCTAAGCATGACAATCTCGTCGAAAGTCGTTCCCACCCGACTACGGTGACGACCCTGTGTTACAGCCTTGTTTAAAGCGCTCCCACCGGCCGCGGCGGCTTCAGCCGATTGTTCTCTCACCAGAGGCACTCGTGCAATGCACGATCGAGCAGCGGCGGCCAGAAATTCCCCATGAGAAGTGTCAACAGCAAGTGTTCCCCGACCCCGAGTCTCTGAGCCGACAACGATATATTGAAATCCTCCGAGTTGAAAAGGGGACATCAGCCCGGCTTGTGTGCTCTCGATTAGATAACGGAGCGATATGGGAAGCAATCTGAGGAGCACAGCAGCGATGCCGCTTATCTTCGGAGTTGTAGCATCAGCGCTCTTACTCGAATCGATCGGAATATCAGCGAATACTTTCGTCAAGAGTTCTCCCCACCAGGGCACGAGAGGGTCGCAGGAATCTCCATTTCGGTGCTCAGTAAGAAGCGTGCATGCATCGATGAAAAATCGGTGACATGTGATCAATAACGCGGTAGACGTCGCAAATTCATGCTCATGGATGACGTATTTTCGGGGAGAAAGAATAAAGATTCGAATTCGCCTCTTGGCGTCAAATCTTATGAGCAGGACCCGTGACTCCGTTCCGGGTGGGAATTCTCGATGGTTCTTGAATTCTCGGAACTTTCCAAAGATGGCCGCGCCGTCGGTATCCGTGGAACGCTCGAGATCCCGCCATCGATGCGGGAGGGAGCCAGAAACGTTCCATTGGGGAGAGTCCTCCATATTTCGTCACCAATCGAGTTCTCACGACTCCACCGGTTAACTGCCGACCAGCAGGGCGGAGGCGAGGACCGAAGGTCGACGATAATCGTACCGATGACGATGGCAGAATGGAGATGATACGAGTCTGAGCTCTCGCTCCCAGCAGCGCACCAGATGACGTTTCGTCGGGCGTGCGTAGGAGGTGCATCGGTCGCTTGTTGTTGTTCTTCATTGTGAAATACAGCCTAGCCACTAGCTGGTGGGCTCCCAGCACTTTGAGTTCACATGCACTCGACTGTGACTACTGGTGCTGCTCCAAATATCTGTTTGGCCGTCAGCCAGACAAGCCGAATTCAGACGAGCGAGCCGGCCTTTAAATCCCACCCCTGAGAACTCTCGCTACCCGCTCGGGGGTGGTGTACCGTACCAGCGAGCGAGCTAGTGATGACGAGAGAAAGGGAGAGAGGGAGGGGGACAGAGGGGGTAGGGGGGGAGGGGTGAAATAGCGGGATGTTCTGGTCAATTGAGCGACAACTTGCTTTCAATAAGAGCCTGGGAAAATTTCGCCGGCTGCTCCTTCGTCCGTGGCCTTCTTCTGGCGTTCCTCGATCGTTGCGTCCCATCGAATTGGTCCAAACCGAAAGAGAGGGAGAACACCTTTCAAGAAGCACTCCTGCCGGAGCGATGGCAAGACACAACCGTGAAGGTGAGGCAAGCTGCCGAGAAGAACAACTCCAGAATGAGATCGTTCGGGGACAGATAGCGGAACGGGTCGTTTGCCCAGCTTGTTTTTCGCCTGATGCGGCTCGTTAACGACCACGTCAATGCCGTCGATGACTACGTAGAAGAGACCCCAGACAGGTGGTTGTTCGGTTGCCCGCCCGCTCGCTCGCTGCCTCGCGCGCTCGTTTATTCGGCTGAAAGACGGGACTCTGCCTGCTATACGAAATCTGGAAGTGTGGCGGCAGGTGACGTTCGGAACGCGACATCTGCTCGGCGACAAAACGCTGAAGAATTTAGGCCACGGAAGCCGCCGTCTTGCGAGTCGCAGGCGGCTACCACGACGGTCCGCCTTGTTTCCACAGAGCCCGAGCCGAGCTACTGCTGCATAGCAACCCCGGGCGGTTCGGGGTCGAGAAAACTCTCAATCGGAGTCAGGAAAACAGTCGTCCGAGAACCCGGGGCTGCGAAATTCGAGTTGAACCAGACGCTTTGACGAAGTCGACGATTTCGCTTCCGAGGGGAATCTCCGCAGAGCGACGGAGTGCGAAGACGCAGGCGGGGCATTCCTCTCCAAACAGTTCAGCCGCGCGAACGCCTCATGCGCACGTTGTTTCCCCTCACAATGCCATGCCGAGACTGCTGTTCTTTTCAGGCCTTGAGACCCGTGCGCGAGGATGAGCTCTCGAGTATTTGAGTAAATATAGTTCGTTATGAGAAGTTCAAGATCGTGGCGGCCTCAGCGCTGGTGACCCAGTAGATAAACAAAAGTTAATCCATTATCGCAGCAGTTGCAGTGGCGGGAGCAGCGGCCGAGCCCCGACGAGACCCGCTGGCTGGTAGAGAATAGTAGGAAGCACACGACGACATTTCACTATGCGATGCACTGAGCAGGCGCACCCCCACTCTCTCGGTCGCGGGAGCGATTCTCCCTCCCATTGGATGTGTGCGTGTCCATCCATGGATTCGCACGCTCTCTCACTCAACCTCTTACCCTGAGCGCCTCTGTCTCCCTAAAAGGCTCGGCTCCCACACTCCCCGTGGGAGCGGTGATCATTTGCACAATTGCAGGTGTCGGGTTTCGTCCCCAGGAGCATTTAGGGCTTGACATTCAATTTCCTAGCTAACGGGATCTCCCTTTGGGACTGCTACGGGGAGCAGGAGGGTTTAAATGTGGGAACTTGCGGTCACCCCGAACGGAAGGCGCAAGATAGCGCTCCGACTGCTTCCAGATCGCATATCATCGCCATGACATTCGCATTTCGATCGGGGATGTCCGCCGGAGTTTTCCCTTTCGGCAGATTCGGGGAAAGTTTCAGCAGCGAGGCTCTTCTCTGCTTCAGAAAAACTTCTGAGGAAGTTCGTCACCGTGAAACCTCTTCAGAAGTGAGCCCGAGGTGATCGGACTCCTCTTCAGAGGAGCCTTCGAGAGATTTAGCCGGGAAGCGAGCCTCGATTCGGGGTTTTTCTCCCGCGCGAAATCTGAACTGGAGTCTGCACCCGCCCACGCATAGAGAAGACTCTAGCTCGGGGCATAGAATCCTGAAGATCAGCAGCAAGGCCGACCTCTCGATCAATTGGTTGAGCCGACCCGGGTCTCTTCGGTGAAGACTCGACGACGACCGTTCGCCTGGCTGGTGTTTGCCCGGGATGACAATGGCTTGGTTGCCATGACAAGGCTTAGGCAGGCCGAGTGCACCCCGAAAGCTTACAGGAAACGCAGGTTGGCTGACTCAGACGGCACGTGCCCCCCTTCCCTCAGCTGTACGACTACATGCAGGGCTAGCTAGGGCCGGTCGGTCGTGGTCTATATTCAGTAAGACTCCTCCAAGATGTCTAAAATAGCTTTCCAAACTCAAGAATCATCGATGATGCACCCTAGTCGTCTTCCTGATGCCGACTTCGGGTGTCTCAACTTCATCCGTGATTGCTAAGAAAGAGGATCAGACATCACGAGTGGCGAAGAATCTCTGAATTATTGCCAATGAATGACATTCAAGTCGATCTTCGTCAACGAGTCTCCCACCGAGATCCCGGACTTTCCCCGGGATACTCTCCCGCGGACCCTCACTGACGAGAATCCGAGGGACTGAGCGAGTGAAAGGTGCCCGTCGGTGATCTAGCGGAGTTTCGAAGGAAAAAACAGAATTTCCGTGTTCGGTATCGATCTTATATTTGTATTCACAGTCCGGCAGCGAGCTCCGGGGATCTTTACATGACGAGATTAGCAAAGTATGACTAGAAACAATCTGTACAAGTGATTGAATTGTTTGACTGCGTCCTTCTCCACCTTCTCCCTCCATTGAGAATTTCTTCTCTCATTTACTGATCGTAACAGTTTGCCAAAAACCCGCAAACATAACGAAGTTTCGGTGGGACATCATCGTTAATCAATAAATAAATACATTCATTCATCTATCCATCAGGTTGTCGAGCGCTGAAAAACTCAACTGGACGACCTCGACGATAGGCTGCTCTCACTCCGGGACGCTACGCATGACATGCTGTCCTGGTGTTTCTGCAGCAGCGACATTCGGCTGAATGTCTTGGAGCAGCGTGCGCAAGAATACTTCTTCACTTCCTGGTGCGTTTGCAGATGGGCGCGGAGGTTCGAACGATCCGCGAACGCTCGATGACAATGTTCGCACTCGAACGGCTTCTCTCCGGTATGGGTCCTTATGTGACCCTGAAGGAGCCAGGGTCTCGAGAAGGCTTTCCCGCAGATGTCGCACTTGCACGGCAGGGTGTGGGTGCGGATGTGCATTTTCAGAGCACCCATGGACACGTACGACTTGGAGCAGTACTTGCAGCAGAACTCTTTGCGACCGCTCGCCGAGTTCACGCAGTGGAATTCCTTGTGCTTGCTGAGCCCGGCGAAGGTTGAGTAACTTTTCTGGCAGTCGTCACAAGTGAAACGGTTCGAGCCGGTGGGCGAGCGCACATCTTCCTCCGGCTCTTTCTTCACAGCCACCGAGTTCCCGCCGTTGTTGATGTGGCTATTACTGATGCTGTTGTTGTTGTTGTTGCTGCTGACGGTTTCCCAGGACGGCACCACGGCGTCCTGAGGCTTTTCGTGGGTGAGAATCTGCGGTCGGAACGTCTGCGCGGAAAGATTGGCACAAAGCGAACTGTAGTAGAGCGCTGGGAGCGGATACAGAAGCGGGTTCCAGGGATCGAGCAGCGGCGCGATCATCGGTGGAATCATCGGGGTAGTTTTCGGCGACAGCGGCGTACGCGGTAGTCTAAACGTCGGTGAACCATCACTTGACACTGACGATAGTCTTTGCCGTTTGGTGGACAAGTCGAACGGCGTCGAGTGGATCTCTGTAAATTGACAACGGGAGTTTCTCTTAATGTGCTGCCGGCTCCACGACCGAGCTCGCGACTTGAGTTCGTCCGCGTCGAGCTGCTCTTCCAACGGCACCGGCGAACTAGCCTCCTCCGACTCCGCTTCGGGCGAGCCTGCAACCACCGATCTGAACTTTCTCAGCTGATTCCGGAACCTGAGCACCGGCTCCAGATAATCGGAGTGCGGACTTCTCTGCGCCAGCAGCGTCGGACTCTGCGACTTCGGAGACTCGAGCCGCGGCCGCATAATTTGCTCGGCGATTCTCTGCTCGAACGTACCGGGCACGGTCGCGGTTTCGGACGGCGAAGGCGACACAGAAAAAGAACTCCGCTCAGAGTTTGTGGAAAGGTCTTCCGGACCCTCGGACTGGGGCCCATCACTGGAAACCGTCCGAACGGGCTCGTCGAGCCACGGTCGTTTCACACCGCTTAGCGTCGAGCTCATCGCTGTCTCTCTCTGTCGTCCACGACGGCGACGGTGTCACTGCATCGCCGTAGAGACCCGAACACGACGAGTACAGTTATGTGGCGGTCCTATACTAGTCGTCCTTAAGCCGTAGTTCCCTCCGACCGAGCTACGTAGTCGACGACCGGGTCCTTTCCCAGCGAGCGCTCCGCCCCTTCTCTCGCGACCAATCGAGTGGCGGCTCGGCGCGTGGATGGCACGTGCTTCTGAAGCTTCAAGAAGAAGCATCCTTTGCATTGGGAGGAGAACACTGTCGCCGATGCCTCTGTCCGACCGTCTGTCTGTCCGTCCGTCTGTCTGTCGGACCGTCCGTCGACCGTCTCCGCCACTAGCCTTGAGGATGACAACGGGGGAGAAAAAGGACGACATCGAGTGGATCCTGTCACGAGACTTCCAATCTGTGGGAACGAGCGAACGATATGAATTGATAGTGCGGCTGCTGCGAAAGCACTACACACCGCTGGCTGTCGTCTGGCCCGGTCGCTCGGAGGCTTTGTGGCACAAGCCAGGAGCAAGTCCGATCCCGAGCACCGACCATCCTATCTATCGTCTCAGCGATTGATTTTGCAAGTCATTCATACAACCCCGATCTAGTGCGGGCTCGATGATCGGCTTTGGACAATTATTATCATCATCATCGATCTCTCTCGGTGAGATTGAGAACTTCATTTTGGGGAATTTTCCCGGAGTCCGAACGCGACGCTCTGTGGTCGAAATTCGAGATATGAAGATTCCGAATGGAGCAGGAAGCGAAATTCCCAACGGAGATCCGCCGATTCAGTACTTGGAGGGAAAATTCATCAAGAAGAGTTCCAGGGGAGTAAATTAGGCGGTTGCGAGTCATTAGTCCCTGGATCGTTCTTTTCTCCTTCTCGGAAGCGTCAGCCGGTTCCAGAGAGACTACCATAATTTTTTCCGGCTCTTTAGATGAGACGCCAGCTGTTGTTACACGGCCGCCGTCGCCGTCGCTTTGACGGACTAAACGCAAAACCTGTACAATGAATCGGCGGAATGGAGAAGCGAGAGAAGAAGAACCGACAACGTCCACGTCAGCGGAACAAACCGTGAAATCGATGTCGGAGCCCGTTGAACTCTCAACCATTACGGGGGTCGCTCCGGAGGAGGAGACCGAGTCCTATTGGCGCGCACGTGGGGACGTATTTACGGTGAAATACGTGAGTTTGTACGTCCGAGATGCGACAGGATGCGATGCGCACCAGACGGCTGACGTTGATTAACTTCCGCCAGCCGCACTGAATTCAGTGAGTCAAAAAGTCAAAAAACTCAGCAGAACGTCGGTTAGCCCGAGGCTCCAAGGTCGGTGTCGGGATCCGACCTCTCGAGAACGCTTTGTCAAATCAGAAATTCGACGTCTCAACCGAACTCACAGAATCTGAATTATTGCATCTGACCGAGTTAATTTGTCAGGGAGCAAGCGGTCCGGCCGGGAAGCCGAAGTGCGAGCGACCACACGCACGGGGCGTGAAGATGTCTGCCGCAGATAACGGTCAACGAATAGCCACGAACGTGTTACGTTCTAGTACGAGCGTATGACAAAGAGGAAGATCTGAGATCGAGAGACCCTCGCGACAGAAGTTTTGCCACTCCGAGAAAAAAAGAAGAGCTCTTGCTGAGCCGCCACGTGCTCGACCATAACTCTTGCACAACTCACACTGCATGTAGTCGGCGGCCAGCACGTGCGCTGGAGGCCTCAGAGACTATTCACTAGTTCTCCAAGTTTCTCCGGACCGTTTCAGCAGCGCTTCTCCTTCCCCCGTTCTCCTTGTGATTTAACCTCCCACGACATCCTCGACGACGGCGGTCGCGAGCGAACGAGTGACATGACGGCTCTGACAACTTTCGAGACCGCGACAGGAATCGTCAGCGACATTGTTCGGCGGGGATTGTATTTTTCTTTTTTGTCACGACAACAGCCTCATTGTCCGATGACATTTGCAAATCGGTTCTCGACCGTTTCGAGGGACGCACGGTGTGGTCCGGTGGTGTCATTTGATCTTCGACATCAATTCGATCGATTCCAGAGCGTGATTACGCCTCGCCGTCGTATTCATGCATTGTGTTGCGTCGGAACGAAGTATGCGCGCGTGAAAGGTCTCACAGGGCGAAGAGAGGATTCCGAGCCCGGGATGCATCCACCCGAGCGAGGCGGTGATCCCTTCTGTGGCTCGCGAGTGTCTCTCCGCCCTGGAGCGGGAATACTCTGCTGGAGTGTGCCGTCGGACGGAAACGACCGTAATAACGATCAAGATCCGACGCGTTCATCCGTCTACCCAGGCGATCCATCCACTTCTTGAGCTATGCGGTTCAAGTGCGATTCCCCAGACATGCACCCAGACGAGCGGTCGGTCGGTCGTTCTGGCGGGCGGGCCTACAGACGGACGGGTGGCCGGATAGATGGATGGATGGACAGACTCGATCCGTCGATTGTGATAAACAAACAGGAGGCCTTCTAGAAATTCGGTGTCACTTACTCTCGGAGGCTTTCGAGTAGCGGGAGCAGTTGTTGCCAACGAACGAGCGATCGAAGGAAAGGACGGACGGACGTACAGACCGGGACGCAGCTCGCGCAGCTCACACAGCAAGCCTCGGAACAGTTTCTGGATCCCTCTGGGCCACCACCGTCAAGTGACGCATGGAGACCAGGTGCTGAACAGGAAAAGACCACTATGGCGACTGGAAGGAAGCTGGAAAAGCAACAGTCCGACCAATGTGTCGATAGATGCCGCTAATTTGAGCAGCCACTTCCCTCGGCGAAACATCGAGACGACGACGACGAGAAACAGCGAGAAACCCAGGCAAGCAAACACGCTCGCTCGCGCGGTGCTCTCTGGACGGGACCTGAAAATGACGTGTCGACGATATGAAGATCTGTTCTAGGATCCCTTTCCTCCCTCGACGAGCCTGAATCAACAGGCTGTCCCTTTTCCTTAAGGACATCTGAACGACACCGGAACGAGTAATTGCTATCCGGGTCTGAAGGTGCGACGCATGCGCTCTCGGGTAGAACTCCTCCCGATCTATCGAGCTGGACTGGATGAATCCCGGGACGATCCTTCCTGCTCGGCATCCGGGAAGACTTCCCGATATTTCCCCCCTTAAAGTCCATTCGAATCCCTCATAAACCGTGCGGGCACAAGCTCGGGCCCTCGACGGGAGACGAACTAATTCGTGTTGACTTCCGCCTCTGGAGGCTTCGACGGAGCGTTGATAATTTTGCGGAGACCCGGAGAAGGGGTCTCTTTGATCCGTCTGACCCCTCACCGTTGACAGCGAGGCCGGATGGGGCTCTTCTGCAAGGGCTCTGGCTGCAAACGCTAAGCTGGAAGCGTCACCTCCACAATCAGGTCCGCTTGCGATATTGAAATATTTCAGGGAATCTTCGGAGGCCACCTGAAAGCTCCTTGTGGCCGGCTGGGCGAGGCCGCCCGCGACAGGAAACCGTACGCTCGAGCCGGGACGGAACTCCTTTGCCTCCGGGTTGGTTCTTGTTTTTCTCGAATTTTCTCTCAGGTAGGTATTGAGTTTCGAAAGCGATGAATGACAACCGTTGGAAGCACCTGGCGCTCTGAGAGGTAGCCATAGAGGTGCATGTTCGACCTGAGTAAGCGTAGGTTATTCTTATGCGCGTGGCATATGCCGCTGTCTCTTCAGTCGCAGCAGAATCGACGGCGGCGGCAGCAGTCGAGTTCAGTCACTATTCTTCGCCATTCAACGGGTTGAGACCAGACAAAAGTCGTCCACTTCGGATCAAGCGAGCGAGCGACCAACCAACCTGCCTGCCGAGACGATTCTTCGCGACGGACTGGAAGTCGCGGTCACTGTCCGGCTGACGAGTGCTCCGGCTGATATACGAGCGCGCTGATCTACGGTGGATCGCGCGGGACACCCAGACGAGCGTCGGGACCCAACCGGGACTGCAGACGCAGAACCTTCGTGCTCGTGGGAGCATCTGTCGGCATGCGCAGGTGATCCTCCTACACCCCTTGTGGATTGGTCGTCGTTGTCGCGGCCGATGGAGAAAAAAAACACGGGCGCGTGGACGCCAGACGATTCCTTCTGCAGCTGGAAATAGGGAAACCGTTCAGAGGCTCGAGCTCTGCCCGTTGGACAGGGGGAGCGAGTGGAAGCCACGAAGGCGGCAGCGGGCAGCTTATTCGATCATCAGGGAAAGCGCCGGGAACCGAAGATGATCTTCGATCTCGAGGAGCCAGATGCACGTCGAGTATGTTCGTGTGCCCAATACTCGCGGATCGATAAAGAAAGTCTCGAGATCGGGCGCTGTTTCGCCAAATTCGACTTCGAATCATCTCTCGGATGTTCAGCGAAGGGTCGGACGGCACTGCTTCCGCTGAACCGGAGCTCGATACAAAAAAAAGGCCGGGGCTCAGGCAGCTCTCGCTTCTCCGGATCCTCTCTGCAAATTGACTCCCTGAACAAAAGGCTTCGGTAATTTACTCGTCCGAGTCCTCTTCGACACCAAAAAATCTTTGCTCAAAATTCGGACTCAAACCCTTTGCTCGATCTCCTCCGTCGTGATTCACCGTCCGGTGTTGCGTAACTTCGGATATCCTTTGCCTTCATTAATCTCGGAGTGCTTTCAGCTCAGATCTGGGCCGGAGGAAAAACTACAGAAGCAAGGAGCGCTTAGTGCGGCTAGAAGACGCGCCGCGGCCCAAAAATCGACGGTTGTTTTCGGCCGAGAGGCAGGTGATCTGCATTGTAGAAAACGGCTCCATTTTTACATCTGCTTTCGCCTTCGGCTGAGCGGTGGAGTCGCCTTACACGGCGCTGTGCTCAAAAAAGCTTCGTCCGACCCGAAATTCTGCTCCAGAATACAGGATCCGAGACCCTGATATTTAAAATCTGCTCCCGGTGTGTCCCGGTGTACCCCTCCCCCCTTCGCTGCTCACTCGAAGAACGGACGAAAATTGCCTGACGGGCAATTAGACGTGTTTTCT